CCGACGAGGGCCCCCTCAGTCTCCTCAAGTGCAACCACTGTTTGTTCCTAAGGTACTTTTTCGCGACTCACTGAAATTCTCCGTGGCCTGAATTTGTGTCGCGACCCACAGTTTGGGAAGCCCTGAAATGTGAGCTGACATCAAATCGGTGTCCATTTCAAATGGATATATGTTGAAAATATTGTGGCTCAACTCTGATTTAATGTACGCCGAAAAGATTGAAGTATGATAATGGTTTTAACCACAAATTTTCCACTTGTCAATTCTGTTTATCAGAATTTTGAGTTCGTAGTTGGAAACACACACTATTCTATTATACCACTCAGTCATACCAGGAAACAGTTAAATTACTTGTAATTTAACTGTTCCCTGGTCATATATTTACTAAATATCAATTAACCATTCATGCTTTATCATTACTATAATTATCACCATGGGATTTCATAAATACCGTAAAACCTCGATTTGAAGTTAAATGGACTTAATCACGAAATGAAGCCTATCTTGAATTAAAGCCCCCTCTTTTGTTTGTAAAATTACCCTCACAAAAAAGCCAATGGGCTTCTTTTCAAGATAGCATAGGCTTTTTTTCGAGACAATAGGCCTACATACACTGTACATGAATTTTAAAAAACAATATAAATTGAAAACAAACTTGGTTTATACAGTAGTTTTGGTGATTTAATGCCAGTTAAATACACTCCATGATACAGATTGATGTTACAATTACCTTATTTATTGTTTCATAGTACGAATTCACAAAATTGACAGCATTCATTTTGAAAAGAAGCCCACTCCTTCCCCCACCCACCTCGTTACTTTGCAAAAGTAGCCTCGAGAAGAAGCCCATATCGAAAAAGAAGCCCATCAAAAGTTCGAAAAAAAAAAAATCAGGGCTTCAATTCGAGGTTTTACGGTATTAACGTACGTAGGCCTACCTAATAGTAGTTAAACATTGCTTTAACAGTAGAACTTTATCAGCTGGAGAGAATGCAGGGTTTGGTGGTACGGGGTGCTTGAGAGTCCACATGACCTCAGGCCCACCATGGATGGGGCTGAGGTGCGAACATTTTGAAAAAATGTGGGCGAATGCTATTTCGGTCGATATTCTATAGGCCAAATGTCTGTCCGTGAAACGTCAGGCCACGAAAATTAATCATTTAAATATGCCACCTGGTGGCACATTCATCCATTAACATGTTCACAAAAAAAAATGTCGGCGAGTTGTCTGTCGGCAAATTGTCTGTCGGCAAATTGGCTGTCGGCGAATCGTCCTGTCGGCAAACTGGCATTCGGCGAAATGGTATTTCGGTCGATAGTCTGTAGGCCAAATGTCTGTCGGTGAAACGTCCGGCCACGGCTTCGACAAAGCACGGAAAAATTCTAAGAATGGGAAGTGACCAAAGTGACGGCCAGAAAAAAAACAGTGCAAAAAATATTTGCAAGAACAAAGAAAAAATCAGAACAAAAACAATGGCTTTTACCGGTACTGCTGGGAAAAGCCAATTATAAAGTGATCACAATTATTAATCTCTTAGATAAGTAAACGAATAAAGAATGTCTAAATCTATCACAACAGGAGCATGTGCTGTCCAGCTTTCACTACATTCTTTATCAGTAGCTGCATTTGTCAGATCTTTATTGATAAAAGTATTTTTTTGTTGCTTTATTATTTGACCTTCGCACAGATGGGGGTGTTCCTTGCAGCGGTGGATCCGGAAGTTCCAAAATAGAGGGTGCCCAAAGAGGGACCTTCACAGATAGGCACCCCAGCCCCATCATGGTTGGGACTGAGGTCAGAAAAATTAAGATTAGACGTCGCCGGAAATGGCACTCTCTGGATTTGAATATAATTCTTTAAAAACAATTTTGAAATATTTACGAGGTCCCATTGGGTTTTCCTTGAATCCGCCACTGCATGGGGGATTCCTCTAACTCTCAGGTGACCTAAGGTTTTAAAACAAATATTGCTTATTACGGAATTTTTATAAAAAGATATACGAACAGATTCTTGAAAGAGGACTTGATGGTTGTTATATACAACGACTTGAATATCAACTATTAAGAACATATAGACCTGTATGGAGATATTCCCTCTGTACCAAGAATTTTGAGGGTTTGAAGGTTAGCATTTGCTGGACATTGCTATAGAAGTGAAAATGAAGTTATTTCAGGGGTTCCCTTTCGGGAACCAACCCATGGGGAAAAGAAGCAAGTACCTCCCCGACTACATACTTGTGTAAAAGTGCCCCTTTTTAAATGTTGAAAAATAACTGACATAAAAAAGTGCATTCCTGCCATCTAAAAGTCCCCAATTATTAACATTCTCACCTCAGCCTCAACCATGATGGGGCGCAGGTGGATAGAGTAATTTTACTAGTTGTTATGTATTAAAGTGCCATTTTTTGGCATCTAAAAGTCCCCAATTCTTACAATGTTCTCATACCAGCCTAATCCATGATGGTGGTCAGGTGTAAGTAGTAATTTTCGTAGCTTTTATGTAATAAAGTGCCATTTTCCGGCATCTAAAGTCTCAAATTCTTACAATTGTCTTACCTCCGCCTCAACCATGATGGGCTGAGGTGGATGGATTGTTTTCATAAATTTTAAGTATCCAATTGCCGTTTTCTGGCAACTGTAAAGTCCCAAATTCTTAAAATTTACTCACCTGCGCCCTAAAAACATGGTGGGGCTCGGGTAGATATCGTTTTGTACTATTCAAGTGCTAATTTTTTGGCATCTATACGAGTTTCAAATTCTCAAACTTTAATCATCTGTGTCCCAACCATGGGGGAGGTGGAGGTAGTTTTTAGAGTTGTAAGTATTTAAGTGCCGTTTTCGTGTACCTATTTAATTCATTCGGGTTTTTTTTTTTTACTCAATTCGTCAAAAATAAAAAGGAATAAAAGGTAATTTAATTCCAACTTCAGGCATCCAGAAGTATAAACTACTGAATGTTCGGGTCACCGCCAACCACGATGTGGTGTGGTCTCTCAGTTTATCAGCTTGTTTTGTTTTGTTTTTGTTTTTGGGTGGGGGAAGGTGGTTGGCTGCTCATTTATGAAAATGATTTTCAACCTAATATTATTTATAGCTTTCAAGCCTCTCAAATGATGGGAGAGCGACAAGATAGAATATGTTACCCACGTCGTTTAAACTTTTTTTTTTTCATTTATACATGAATGCCTTTTTTCTTTCTGGACCCCCTCTTGCAAATATCTGGAGCCACCACAGTACTCACAGCCTCGCGAAAGGCCGCCAAAGACATACACAATTAGAGCAGCAGATGAAATTGGACCGAGAAGCTCATCATTTATGCAAAAATGTCAGGCTTGAGCGTACATAGTTGACACCAGAGTTAAGCTACTTCCTTGGCCTACAAACCAAATATTCCAAAACTAAAATGAACGTAAAAATCGAAATAAATACGTATGATTTTTTTTATTACAATTCTCCAGTTTCACTTTATGTACGGTAACATTATATTTATGCGATCGTGTCTCGTCTCACTGCATGTACCTACAGTCCTAGTAGTGCATTAGTTGTTGCGCACAATTTATTAAATAAACATTATTATAATGACATAACAAATAAATAACAATAATTTAAACGTGTACATAGTATCTATCTCTACTACAATAATAAGATTAGTATTTTTCAATCTTATATAGCCGGAGTTAGTTTCGATCTAGGCAAAACCTTTGCTAATAGGTACACTTTCTCCATCAAAAGGCTTCTTCTATGAATGGAATGACCTGTTCGAAGCACGAACTCCTGTAGACCAAACCCAGTACCGTTACGATTTTTAATCGTACGGGAAATCCACTCACGATATAGACTAGTCCTAAATTAATGAATATGAAACAGTTTTTGGAATGATACAAGCACTAACAAATCTAACTAATTAATAAACTACAACAATGACAATAAAACATGTCATCGTGTAAAAATTGGTATGGTCCTATTGTAAATAATTTTGTAAATCAGTTTCACTTTTCACGTTTTTGGGTATAACTGCTATATAACGGATATATATCAGAGATGCAGTGGCTATTTTTACACTATTTAGTATGAATAAATCAGTATTGTTATTTTCACATCTATATTGGCTGTTTAACATGTGATATTGCGGGAGGTGGTCCTAAAATTGCAGTGCATTATTATAAAATAAAATTGAGGTTCATTTAAGCTGAAGCTCTCTCCACACTAATACATTTTATTTGACAAATTTGTGTGATGTGCCTTGCCCATATAGCATACAAATAGGCATGATGAAATCATATTACACACAAATATGGGCACATCAGTTTTTTTGTCACATAAAATTTGAGAGTGTGGACAGAGCTTTATTCTAGCTTTAATAGAAAATAGGCATCTCGGTATTATTTTATTATCTGACGTTTTTAAAATACATTGATATCAGGTGAAATGGACAATTACATTCATCCAAATTTCAGTGCTTAATACTGTAGTTTGAGTTCATATTTCATTTCATTATGTAAATAGGCCTATCTATGATCACTGTGAATTATTATTTAATGTGGCAGTTTTATTTTTTGTAAGTAGTTTTTATTTAATGATCATACACATATTGCTACGATACACACTAAACTTAATTCAAATCTTAATAATACAGGGAATAATTAAACAATGTAAATGATAGATTTACAGGAATATTATTTGTTGTACAAAATAATATAATACATTCTATGTGGACATGTGTTGGTACAGGATTAAAATTTTCCACTTCGAATTAATACAGAATTAATTAGGTGATACGAATTAATTGTGTTACATCAATTCTGTTCCCAAAATAAATCCGTTTTAAACAAAAATAATAGTGTCCTACACAGCGCGCGACGCCGTATCTAAATCATCTACAAATTAGCATGGAACTTACTGGCCTTGTGTTACAAACGGCTCTATTAATTTAGATGCCATCTCTAGTTTTGCATCTGTTAGGATTTTATAAAGTTTAGTGCAAAATTCTTTAGATGTTTGGCATTGTAAGCTTAGTCTATTCAGTAAAAACATTGTTTGATTTGGCATCTTTTTCATTTTTTCGATAATGTCAGATTTTATTCCGATTTTCTCAGCTAAAAGTCTCCAGTCACGCCCACCTAACGGCTCCTCTTTGTCAAGGTGCAGACATAGATCGTGGCAGACTTTCTCATCAAGTTTTGTATAGCAGGCATTCTTTTTCCCGAAAATTCGACGAGACGTTTGGAAATTAATATCTCCATCACCAAAGTCTAATTTCTCAACCTGAAAACAATTATATTAATTTGTTAAAATTCTCAAAAATTGCATAGAACATACAAAATAATTGTAAATTTGGAAATACCTTGTAGGTTGGTGGAGCAGTAGAATCTATTTCCAGGAATTTTATATCAGTGTTGTTCTCCTGTTGGACTTTTATTCTACAATACACATTTTCATGGTCCCGTTGATCCTCAGTTTTCAAACGAAATCGACAATATGGTGATATGCAACCATCTTCCTTCTCATACCATAAGTCATCATGTTTCAGTGTCTGAAATCACAATGGTCATTTTTTAAAAGTTCATAATTAAATTTTATGTATACATCATATTCAAAGAACCTGAGTTATAATAGCTTTATTATTCATCACCAACCAACCATCGTCATTATTATTATTATTATCATCATCTTATTATTATTATTATCATCATCATCATCATATCATTTTATAGGCCTACTGTATATCAAACTTTTATATAATGCGCTTTACAATCTACTCCATCGTAACTTAAAGATAGGCCACTGAGGAGCGCAGTAGTAAGACAGGGCTCTCTAAATGTAATAATTGCATAGTAGGATGCTTAATTAAACAAGTACCGGTTTTATTCTGTCCAAACATATTCTGTTTATGTTCTCACCATTTTGTCTTCGTATTCCGACTTCCATCCTTCCTTCACGTTATTAAGGTTGACTTGGACGTCTTTTCCAGTATTTTGCACCTTTAATGATTTTACTTCATCCATACGTTCTTCTTTAAAATTTTTCTGTTCTTTTATTACAGTCTAAAATTATGTTAAAGAAATTCGTTTTTAATTTGTTAGTCACTTGCATTGTTGACAACTGTTTTCTAATTTTCTTTTTATATTATAGAGTAACACACTTCTTTATGAGTAGGCATAGAGAGTAAAGGGTTACATCAAAGTTAACTCTATCTGCAAGCCAATTAATAAGCCGGGTTTTATCATTGTATATTTCGTAACGATATGTTCTTTGAAAAAGAACAAAATACCTTCCTAATACTTTTAAAGAAGCAAACTCTAATTTCAAATGTCGCAGAAACATATTTTCTTCAAACTTACGTTAGTATCATACGTGTTAAATGCGCAAACTTTGAACGTGTATGAACTGCTTCTGTTGTAACATTTGCCAAATGTGCAAATATTCATCCGTTTAGTTCCATCCATCTCAGCGATGCCTGCTAACGTAAATTTGGTAAAATGATTAACGATGATGATGCAATCACCTCCCTCAACCAAGCATATTCCATCACTATCCTCACCGATATGTTGCCAGTGATCACCTGGGTCTCTGGAATTTTGTATCAGTCCTGAAAATGTCCACTGATCTTCTCCATCAGCACAATGTGGAAATGACAGGATGAATGGTTCTTCAAACGATGTTCCAGGAGGTCCACAGTGGATGATGGGAGCAATTCGTGTTTCCTTTTCGTTTTTCAGGTTTAAGTATGCATGTGGATCTAAGTAAATATATATCTCTTTTCTGGTTCTTTGAGGAATTGCTCCAGGTGGAATATAGAGATTAACCCCAGCATCACTGATAGTAAGATTACCACCTTTACTGTCGAATATTCCCGCCGAAAATGTGGAAGTTGTGAAATTGATTCGAGTTACATCTTTCAACTTACACATGGACACCTTCTGATCAAACATTCGAAGCATCTTTTCCAAGGTTGTACCGTTTTCGGTTTTGTTATCAAGTACTCCTAAGTCTATGATGTAAAGAATAATATAAAATTAATATAATTTTAATATACGTGTAGCCTACATTTGAAATTTGATCATTGTTACGGGTTCATGCAACTGTAGGCCTGCAATAAATATAAGTTATATTTTCAAATCGCAATTACCTCCATCGGGGTCATCGTTAAACGCGTGTGGAACTGGTAACTGTTCAAGAAGCATTTTTTTCTGTATTTGGTTTTCCCTTATCACTGTAAAAAAGGTTTAAATTCCATCTCTATTTGTTAATTTGCATATATACATGCACACATACATATACATACATATAAATTTTCGTATCACCATTTTATATATTATAATATATGGGCCAAACATATTGTAGAACGTGATTTATCAGAATGGTGTAAATCAGAGTGGTCAAATAAATTATTGCAAAAACCTTCATTAATTAATTATTCAAGATTTCAAGTTTCTCCTAAATTTAATAATATTTGTTGGACAAAACAAATTTTCTTGGGGCAAGCCTAAAATTTAAATTAAGATCTAATACACTACCCCTTGATTGTAAAACGTGTAAATGGTCAAATGATGTTTCAGGCATTTGCACCCTATGTGAAACTGGAGAAATTGAAGATGTCAAGCATTTTTTACTAAATTTTCCCGCATATAATATCATTAGAAAACAACATTTAACAAATCTTGAAAATGATCTTCTACTCTGTAACGATTATGATACATGCACACTTTTTTCAACAACAAATGACGATATTAAACTTCAATATGTTTAGGAGGAGATTCAGTTTTTATTTGTGATGAATCTACCTCTATTTTTGATAATTTCTGTAAAACATACATCATGAATGCTTGGGAGAAACGCTCACAACTAAAAAATTCACAACAATAGTTTACTGTAAATGTATTGTTGCTTATCAAATTGTGTAATGTTAATATTTTTTTTTTTTTTTTTTTTACCACAAGTGGACTCTACATCGTAGTCTGTAATCCTTAAGTTAAGTAGGTCTACCTTGGTATAATCTTTTTGTTGTAAGACTTTTTCATCTTTAGATTTTTTATTTTTAGGTTAGTTATTTTAAGCATTTACTTTACAGTAGACCTGTACAGTATTTCTGAGTATGAAATGTGATGTGAAATGTGATCTCATCTAATTTCATATGTTATTTTTCCACCTTTCTTTAATTTTGTAATATTAATTTTTATACAGTCGATTGTTGTTTGTTGTTAAATTTTACCCGTTTTTTGTTTGTACGAACGCACCAATTGATATTGAGTGCCACCGATTCAAATGTGTATGTTCAAATAAATAAATAAATATACAATATTTTCAACAACGCTATGGGAGACCAAGGCTGGATATAAATATATATATATATATATATATATATATATATATATACATACATACATACATACATACATACATATATATATATATATGTATATATATATATATATATGTATGTATGCTGACTTCCTTATTATGAACATTACTTGTTGTGAGTACTTAATCTAAACCACCATTAAATGATCTTGTCGTACCACTAATCCCTACTTATTATTCTATGGACCTACTTATTAATACCATGCAAGAATGTTCTATTATTAAATGCATAATAGAATACTATTTTAGCATAGACCGAATTTAATTCATAAAGAGGAAAGTTTTGGCACTCACACCCCCGGCGCTCTTCTTCCAAATCTCTACTCAGCTTCCGGTACATGTTTATCACTTGCCCTGCATAGGATATACATGTACAATTTTTTTTAACCAGATATTTTATATGATAACAATAATAAAAATGTTAAAATCAATATTGTTGTTAATGATATTAATAACAACAGTAACAACCATTTACAACTATAATGATGATACTCATAACAATGATGATGACAACAGTAACAATAAAAATTTCATTGGCGGATATGAGGGGTCAGGGGTATATGTGTGTGTACCGGTACACACATAGGCCTATTGACTGTAATAAGAATGAGAAAAAATTACCTGACCGTTTAAAAAAGGGGAAAACATTGGATTTTGATTAAAAGACACAGAAGTCGGGAAAACATTTCTCGCCATCTAAGAACCAAAATTTTCCAGGGGAGGACCCCTCACCCCCTTTTGTTTGGGGTTCATCGATTTATTGAAAAAAGAATATGTATGCAGCGACTCAATTTTTGTTATGTACTGTACATACACACATAGTAGAGCTACTAGTATTTACAGTAATAAGAATGAGAAGTTTACCTGACCGTTTTCAAGCGGAGAAAAAGCTTAAAAATTAAAGAACTTAAAAGTCATTAAAAGACACGTACGTATACACACATAAATATGCCTAGGTCTATTTACTGTAATAAGAATGAGAAGTTTACCTGACCGTTTTCAAGAGGGGGAAAACCTTGAATTTTGAAGAACTTAAAAGTCATTAAAAGACACCTCAGAAGTCTGGGAAACTCATTTCCCGCCATCTAAGAATCAAAATTTTCCCGGAGGAGGACCCCCGGATCCCCCATTTTTTTTTGGCGTTTTTATGACAAAAAGTCTGACACCCCCCACCCCCCAACCTAGATCCGCCCCTGAAAATGAATAATAAAACAATAATTAATAATTAAGAAAATATTAGTTATTATTATTATAGTAATAATTATAGTGATGGTATGATGATAATGATAATAGTGTCTCGGCATAAGATAAAATTTTAACAAATTAACTGACCATCAACTTCGATTAAGTTCCTTGGTGCTCGAGTAGCCTGTAGCATAACACCGAGTAAATCATCATGTACAACGTTCCAGTTCCCCATCGACAACTCATCTTTCAGTATTTTATTTACACTGATGATATTATCAAAAAAAGAAGGCACGGTACTGATCACAGGTAGGTATATATCGGTCGTTACTAGGTTTAAATCTTTAGTTATATTCAACACTTCCGGGTGAACTGTATCATTTGCTCTTTTCCCCTCGGCTATATCCTCAATTTTCTTCAAGCTGTCGACCAGAGACTTTTGGAAGTCGAAGTAACTAAAGACATCTTTGATTTGCTTTACAAAAGGCAATACATTTTTCAACGATTTTAATAAACTCACAAACGTATGCAATGGCTGTCCAACCCGGTCATTTGTTCTAAGACGCTGAAATGACTTGATAACATCTTCGGCAGATGGTACACTCGATGCCTTTGCTCGTTGACCGATTTCCTCGAAATACCTTGGTAGAAGAAAATCTAGATCTTTGAGAAGCGTATCCACTGACTTCTTCAAAACATCCCACTTGGGTTTCAGTTGCATATACAACCCATTTAAACCTTGAGCTGCATGATCGACTTGCAACAGCTCACTTTCTCCATCCAGTTGTATTGAGCCCCCTAGACCAAGTGGATTCTGTAGTATTCCAGGTAAGCCCACAAATCTTGGAACAACACCTCATATAGTGAAATATAATTGAGAGAATAAAATATAAAAATATGCGAGAAATAAATATAAAATATATTAATTTTAATTATTACCAAGAAAAAAAAGATACGAAATCGTAACATTTCTAGGCATTCGTTTTCAACATTATGAATATAGAAGAGTATCGACGTAATGGTACAGGAGTAATGATCTGAGAGACAATTTAAAATAACGATATCATGAAAAGGAGAAAAATACATTGGATTACGTTGTTAGTTATATCATCAGAAAATTGTAAATTATATTATTTTAGTTGGACTTCATAAAAATAAGTACATTCAGGAAAAAACTTTTCTCAACGTTATTAAGGGTTATCAGGACATTAGGGGTCATTTAAACAAAATTGGCATTTGTTTTTCTTATGAATACAGTATTATTTAATGGTTTGATAACAAAGGCTTGTGGTTGGGAACCGTCAGCAGTAATTTTACAAGGTTAACGTCATTTGGGGTCATTTAAAAAAGGATGTTTCATTCAGATCAGGTAATCAATTTTGAGATATCTATTGTAGGTGTTTCCGCTTCCACTTACACTTTCCGGAACGTACCTAAAATGTAATGGGATCTTTTCATTCAGTGCATAGATTCCAAGTTAGACAAATTTGCAGGCTTGAGGCCTTTGAAAATTCCGCACCCTGGGGTTATGGAATCCTCCCCCGCCAGAGAATTTTCCTAAGTTATAGAATATGCATTCAGGATCTGCGTTTCCCCCTTTTACTTGAGAATACATGCATTACAAGTCATCCTTAAAAATTAATAGGAGTAGTATTTATTGCAAATTTATGGACTTCAATATTTTGCTGTTTGGGCCTATGATTCCTCGAGATACTACATGCAACTTCAATAGCAAAATGGTGACGTGGATGACGGATTCGCTAATACTAATAGGGCATTATTTTGCGTAACGCCCTGAGCTCTCGAAGAGAAGCCCAGTTCCCCCAGCCTAAAGCGGCCCCGGAGGGGCCCCGAACTCCTCTTTCTACTACCCATTATTGTAATACAGAGCTATACGTGAGCCATATCAATAAAATAATTTTGGAAAGGCTCAGGGGTGGCGCCAGGATTAGCCCGACGGGGGGCCGAGGTCCCAGAGAGGGAGGGACGATGCCTCCGACGAGGGGTCAGATTTCCCCGACGAAAGCAAAGTGGGCGTGGTCGAGCTTCGATTAAAAGGTTTCGAAAATGGTCCAGGGGGGCGAAACCTCGAAAATGTTGACGATTTAGGTGTTTCAAAGGCTTATTTAATCGATTTTAGAGTCTACTAATATGTAGAAAATACATATAATTTTTTTCTCCCCTTACGGATTGTGCTTTTTCCCCCGACGGGGAGCCCTGCCCTTCCTCCCCCCGCTGGCGCACCCCTGGAAAGGCTTCAGGTGATCGTACGCATAATGGTAATTCATTCATAGGCCTATATTACGTTACACGCATATATTCTAACTAAAAATGTATGCGAAATATTATGTTGATTATATTTTTGACTGGTCCCACGATATTTTGTTGACAATGTTAAATGCAGTCTTTTTAACTTTAACATTTAATTGTAATTACCCACCACCACTACGTGAGAAAATATACTTTGTTTGAAAGGGGACACCGACATTTTCTCGCCCAAGGACCCCGTGACTTGTTGTTACGCCACTGCTCGCGAGTAAGTGTCTCTTATAGGCCTATACCCATTCCGACTGTAACTGTAAGCTCAACAATGGAAATTCTTTTCATGGTTTTTCGCGTACCTCCAAAATAGGCCTGTGTACAGATCTGGAATAAGTTGAGATCAGCAATAACATTAGGGGAGGGGTCATGTTGGTACATCCTTCCTTTTACATTATCATCAATGATGTATGTCAGTATATTGCTGTCGTCAAATGAACTGACCCTGGTTCAGGGACATACTGCAGTAATTAAGGACATTTTGTAATTGCAAAGATGATTGCTGTGGTTTTTTTTATTATATATACAATAATATATATATATATATATATATAATATATAAATATTCTTGTTAGCTGTTGATGAGTAACATGTACTGATAATGTTGGCAGTGATATTCTCTATTCTCTTCTCCCCCCTCTCCCCTCCCTATTTGATCTGGAAAAAAATGTAATAAGAGAAAGCAATGAAAATATACTGGGATTAAGAGGGAGAATTAATTTTGAAAAGTGAGTTTAGGACTTTAATAGTATCTACCAAATAAACACATGTCTCTCAAATCGTTACTGGTTTTTCTACCATCCTGTTTCACTTTGTATGTATCTCTTTTTTTCTTTTCTCCTCCCTCTTTTCCTCCTCCTTGACAGAAGTGACGTCAGTTGAAATAATGTACAATGTAAAAACTATGAGTCCCCATGAATGTGGTGGACAAGAAAAAAAAAAAAAAACATTAATGAAAATTTTGGTGGAGGAGGAGTGGGAAGGTTTATTAATATGGACGATTCTTGATTGATTTGCGCTTCAGAGGGTTGAGGATACCATAAGTTGTTTATTTGTTGAAACGGTTACATAGCAGAAAATAAAATTATAAAAATATATAAGTATGCTGCTGATGTATAAAATAGTATAAAGGGTAACAGTATTACAGGCTTGAGAAACTGACAAGGGAGTTGTTACATGCATGTACTGATATGGTCGGCATTGATTCCCTTTATTCTCCCCTCCCCTTCCTGTTTGATCTGGAATTGGTTTGATTCAACAATGCAAGATACACCCATATCTGCATACAGTGTAGATGAGGGGACAGGGGATAGCTGTTGATAGGGTCACTTCTCCAAATCTGTCTCTTATACACATCTAGATGTGTATAAGAGACAGGTATATATCGGTCGTTACTAGGTTTAA